ARRARKWAWKSMAAARRWYCMATGCAAATTCTCATCAGTGTTGACGAGGYCTAACTGTTTTTCTTAATGTTGCTAGGACCATTTCTTGTTGTTTTAATACCAAGAGTTTCAGTTCTATTTTGAGCTGGCACTATAATTAGAAGGTTAATTTTAATAATTATTCGTGTGTCTTGCACAAATGAGTGCGTTTTCTCTCCTGGCAATTTATTATGATCAACTTAATTACTTTTCCTTCGCAATTTCAGCTATTCAAGCTTGAAAATCATTGGTCGTTTGTTGAATTTTCTTACATGTAGTTAGATTTTCGATATTTTACTCATCCCAGAATTTTATTTGTTTAGGTGTGTTCGAATCAAGTGTCGAAGTTAATTTTATATCACATTTTGTGAAGTTCTCAATTTGGGATAAAGCGTTTATTTGTTTGCATGTCTCGTTAAAATGTTTTTCGTTTGGCTTGATAATTGATATTTATTTATTTTCATTTCTTTTTAATTGTTTTTTTTTTTTCCTTTTTCTTTTCGCTTGACCGCCCAAGAGGCCTCGGCATTTAAACATGCAAGCTGATAATAGGTATAAGAAAGTTTTTGAACGAGAACGTAACGTTTGAATTTTTCTAAGTGCAAGGTCGACATTTTACAATTTAAAATTACATTAAATAAGTCGGAAAATCACTCCTCAGAGAATTAATGTCGATATTATATCGACGCTGCAGTCGTGATCTTCCCCAGTTCAAGAATATAGGACATATATATCAAATGATTAAATTCGGTTAAGTCAATTTTCATTTTGGATGCCCGTAGCGTAATGTTTATTTAATTAACGAGTTCCTTTGACACAGGTGAAAAAATTGTCCCATTGTTTCCAACTATTATGTAACTAATTATTTCTTAGGTCTCATGAATTTAAATTAAATGTCAATTTTTTCGTAATTATAAGAAATTGAAGCGTTTCATACTTGTTGTTCACACTTTCACACGCTGAACATTTTTGAACGAACTTAATCTGTCGATTTTCCTCAGATGAACTGAAAATTTTGAAGATAATTGCCAGTTCTTTAAACAGAAAAATATAATGAAATGTTTTCTCGTTTTCTCAAAATCAGCTAGAAGAATTTCCTTGGTTCTGAGATATATTATTTGTTATATACCATAGTTTTTCGAAGTGCCATCGAAATCGGCCGGAAATCAGCTTTGTTTGAGTTCCTTCCTTCTTTTCAAAGTAAGACCTGCTATTTTTGCAATTAGTTAAAAATAACTGCATGTTTTAAAAATTTGCTAGTATAACTTTTTCTAACAGTAAAAAGATGATCTGATTTAATTATTAAAAAAACGTTTTCAACGGAGAGTAAATCGAATATATCTCGGAGCATGGAACTCAATAATAAATGTATTTATATTATAGCTCAATTCTAACACGCGCGCTGATTGGCGGATTTCATGAGAAAAGCTATGGTTTATTTCACCGCTAAACCAGACTGCTGTCTTGAAAGACTTTTGAATCTAAATGGTAGACGTCGGCTATAATATARCAATAAACGATAGCTTGAAGCGGTTTACTGGCGAAATAAACCGCTTGGGATAATAGTCTCCTTCACGGTTCTACTCGCCATCTTGAAAGTTAGCCGTGCCTTTGCATCGAAGCGAGATGGTTCGTTGAGAGTGCAATGATAGAAACCTTTCAGACAATTACAGGTAATTCACAAGTATCTATCATTGCATGCTCAACGGTTGTCTCGCTTCAATGTAAAGGCACGGCTTCCCTTCAAGATGGTGCAGGTAACGGTGAAGGAGACTAGATCTATGGGGAGAAAAGGTAAATCACTCGCCTGACGGCTCGACGTGATTTACGGATCTTTTTTCRTGTTCTCCCAACCAACCCGCGCTTTTTATCTCGTCAGTAAACCGCTTAAAGCTATAGTTTAATGCTTACGGTTACACGTTTCAAATTCCTTATGGATTTCTGATAACGATTCATATAACCTCTTTGTGATTCTATTGTAACAGAAGCTATCGGATCTCATGAGGAAATCCCMGCAGAATCCTGCATGGAAATACAAAATATCACTGGTTCATCAAACAGTGGTTTATACTGGGTCAAGAATGAAATTAGCGGGAAGGTAGAAAGGATACGTTGCAATGGTGGGATTCCAGGTGTTAACTTGATTTTAAAAAAATGTTTTTATGTGATTACATGAGTTTTAATAGACCCCTTGCAGTTCGTGGGAATGCAGCTCCAACTGGAGGACAAAACAATGGATTCTAGTTCCCAAGAGGATAAAAATCTTTTGTTTTGTCCTCCAGATGAAGCTGCTTTGACGTCACATGCAAGGGGTCTATAGTCAGTTTTGAGCAAATTAAAGCAGAAAGCTGAATTTAATGGAAGGTTCATTCCTCGCATCACATTTTTTCATGTGCGATAAGAGACTGTCGTCTAAGCCATTTTTGCATTTTTCTTTGAAAAAATAAAAGATGTTTTGCCATTTTTACAAAGTAAGTATAAAACACAGCTTTTTGTGAGATTTTCTAAGCGAGTAAAATTGGGAGGACTATATACAACTCCCATCACGCTTTGGTCCTTACAAAATGGCGTCGATGCACATTGACAATGATTTCTTTTATAGATGACCAGTCGTGATGTTATCGTTTCTAAGTCACGTTCTTTTGGTATATTTGTTTTCAGATTACTGCAGTTCCAACGCATGTGCAAATGGAGGAACTTGCGTCAGTGGAGCCAGTAATTTTAGTTGTACATGTCCAGCGGGATTCGAAGGGAAAACATGCGCTACTATCAAAAGTATGTAGTTATTTGTTCAAGAAATTTCTTTTTCAAATCTAAGTTTTTGAAAGCGTGCACAGAGAGATTAAAATAGTGGTTTATCGTCGGGTAGTGCTTTATTGTTGTGAAACCTCATATCAATTGATCGTTTCCACCCATTCCCATGAGATTCAAAAGATGAAAGACCAACGGCCATGTTGGAGGAATGAACAATAGAAACTAATGAGAAATTCTTTATTTTTTTCTAAGTTACTCCAAGATGACCGATGTGACGTAACCTGATAACCAAGAATATAGTTCTACGGATTTAATGTCACACTTGCATTCACTGGAAAAAATCGTTCACTTTAAAAGGTTGTAAATTTGATGTAAATATTATGTAAGTGTCCAAAATGATGTAAATTTGATGTAAATTTGATGCTTAAATTTGATGTAAATTTACATCAAATTTACATCATTTTGGACACTTACATAATATTTACATCAAATTTACAACCTTTAAAGCGCGCGATTTTTTCCAGTGACATTCAGGCAAACTTTTTGCGCTTTTCTTTGCAAACAGAGCGCGTTGATATTTTTGATCTCTTAGATTCCCAGTGGCAAGAATACAGTCCTTATTGGTGCACTAGTAGCTATCGCAGTGGAAGGCAGGACGGCTTGACAAAAGATCAGTGCAAGGCCAAATGTACTGGGAGCTGTAAGGGTATGGAATGGTGGGAAAAGAATGGCGCGTGCTTTTTTTGCAGCGATCCATCGAAAAGACAATCGTTTACTAATACAAAGGATAGCGCCTACCCTCCTTATGTGTTGGTTGCATCTTAAAAATGAAAGTCATCAACTTTGTACGTTGAACCTTCACCATCTTGAGTAAACGTTTCATAGTTTTGCATCGAAGTAGTCTGGAAAAAGTGATCAATTTCCATAGTATGTGAAAAATCATGGAATTGTCGATTTACAGTGAATTTTACACACAATGTAAATTTATTAATTAACACAGATCAAGGGAAAATTAAATCATGTCAATAACGAARCCCTGTAAATGCGGAACAATCGTGTAAATATAAATTTACGGCATCTTTACATGATTTTTACATACTATGGAAATTGATCWCTTCTTCCATKAGACGACCTGTAAGCCTGCAGTGATAAAAAACTTCTTTCACTGCTGTGGGCATGCTCAGTGGTCGTCTCACTTTGATGCAAAGTTACCTTTCAAGATGGCGCAGGAATGTGTGCAGGGTAAAAAAAAAATGTTATTTACACCGACGGATAATTCACCTTTCTTTATCAGATAATTTTATTGTTTTTTATAGTTTGAAAACAGTCTCAAAACATTCGTCGGATGATGTTTATATATCTCATTCTATATCATCAAGTGGAGTCCACAAAGCTATGTTGTCTGTACTAAAACATCTCTTGGTACACTGGACATCCGTATTAATTTAAAAAATGTATTTTTGATATTAGGTTTAAGTTGAAGTACAAATGAAACCTTTTAGAAAATCATTTAAAAAAGGCAAATATGATGCTAATCATTGTCTTGAAGAAAAAAAAAGTTGTTTGAGTTCTATTTTCTGAGTTAAAAGCATTTGAAAATTGAAAATGCTAATGAAATGACGTCAATCAAGGAATTGGGAGGTTTTTCATTGTTTGCGATATCTTTGTGTTCGGTTGAAATGGTCAAATCATCAATAACAGTGACATTCAAGAACTGGAAATGCCATCTCCGATATAAAAAAAGAATAATTTTTTTTCGTKATTTTGCATATTAAATCATTCCTTAGTGGATGTCACTTAATTTCCATTTCCGATCCAAATATTTCTAAATCAGAAGATATAGATTTGAATGTTTTTTCCCTTAGCAGAAGTGCTTAGCAGCATGTTATCCTTCGAATAAAATGATTTTCTAGAAGGATTCAATTGCACTTTAAAAACGATGGTTATTCAGACTTTTCGGTAAACACTATGACATTCCTCACATTTTGAACTTAAAGCTAGTGTCAAAAATACATGTTTTAAGTATTATAGACCCCCCAAGCTGCAAATATAATATATCTAATTAGCGTCCGTAATATATTGGTAATAAGTTTTGTTACCAAGGCAAACTTGTTATATTTACTTTCATCGTTTTT